CGGAACTCGCGAAGGCTTTTACATGAAAACAAGCCCGGTGACCCCTTCTTTTTATTGTTTTAATATAATATTATTATTGAGAGGAAGCGTCAGAAAAAATAAATAAAAATAATTCTACGGAAGGAAATTTGTACTTTGTTCAAATTGTCGTTTTTCCAAGTTTACAAGAAATCGGCGCCGTAAAATTGTTTTAAAATTGTTGTGCATTTTCATTTTCAGATGCCAAAAGCTATTGATTAGAAAAAACTCGGGGTCATCGGGTTAATATTTTAGTTATGAGTGACATAAGCGAAAAATCAGGTCAGGAAAATCCTTTTGGAATGTTGTCATGGTAACTGCGGACTACAAAATAACAGCTGTTTTGGGTCAAGTATAAATTATATAATCCAAACCTACAAAAATATTACAGTGGCCCTGCTCTGCCTTTTTGTTCTATTCTTACAAAGTTATGAGCCGTCAAAAACCTGAAAACTGGTACGACCCACCTTAAACCAATAAACTGCAACACAATCAGAGAGTCACCGCCCTATAAATTTGTTCGTGGAGGGGGCAGGGGAGTGCTAAATGGAATTTTGGCAAAGTTAAACTGAAGCCAGTGCTGGACAGTGGTTTATCTGATATTTGAGGGATTTCGGGAGGAGTTCCAGGTGCGATGCTATGCAGTGTCTTGCTTACTTGCTTGTTTGGTTTTCCCTCTGTCCCTCCCTTCCTCTGGTTAGTATTTGGGTAGGTTTATTTGTCTTTTCTCAGTGTGTTGAGCAGTGCATGGAGGTGGTCTGTGTCTGGGCTGCCATGGTGACCTTGCTGTAGAGGAGATTGCTGCCCTCCTCTTCTGCTACCTTAAGGTACCTACCCTCCAATATTTTAATCGGCTTAGAGTTAAACTGTTGTTGGCAGGGTAACAAGCCAGAAGAAGCAGACGACAAGCACAGTGCACAGGAAGAAGAAGACGACGATACCGTGGAAGAGGATCAAGAAGAAGAAGAAGAAGAGGACATCTCAGAGCCAGAGGAAGAGTTTGAGCTGGACGAGCCAGAATCTCCTGAGCCAAGGAAGAAGAGACACCGTCCATCACCTGCACAAGGAGGACAAAGAAAACGAGGCCGACCAGCAGTGAACAGAGAAGGGGCCATGGAACAACAGTTTAAACCTGCAGAACGAACTGAGAGAAGAAGGAAAAGAAGTGAACATGAACAGGAGAGAATGGAAAAGGATCTCGAGGTAGATACCAGAGAGGCTGTGATACACTTTATAAACATTTATGATATGACTGTGCCTATCATTTCAACCGGGAGGGGGTAACTTTGTGAGTTCGTAATATACCCGTAGATGGTGAAGAGTACAAGTGAATATGTGAAAGATCATATATTTAAACTGCGGAGAAAGATATGAAGACATCATTGATCATCGCAGTTATACACACAACTTAAGCAGTTGTGAAAAAAATTCAGGCTTGAACGGGATTCGAACCCATGACCTCTGCGATACTGTTGCATCAAGCCAATCTTTCTCCGCAGTTCAAATATATGATCTTTCATATATTCACTTGTAGCCAATTAATATCTTACCACTTTTCAATGACTTTTCTAGTTTAAAACTTTCAATCAAGTAGGAGATTTTACAATTCGATAGACCATTGACCAGTATTTCGTACGGAACCAGCGGATCAGTTTTACGTTTGTATTGATATTTAAATTCAATTGAAATAGAGTGTATGCCGTGTGTATAACGGTTACGGGAAAACTTCCAGGAAAATCTTCCTGTGCGCGCGACTATGAAAGGAACGACGCTAAACAATGTTCCACTGTAAAGCGAATAACCTACAATATATTTTACGTTTTATTTTTCTTATCTAGGAACGTAAGGAACTGGAGCGGCGGGTAGATGAAGAAATTCAGAAGCAAGAATCATTAATAAGCGTTGCTGGTGTTGACAGCAGGGCCAAGCGACGCTGTGTTATTATGCGGGAACAAATGAGCAAGAAAAAAGAATGGTGGGAGGAGGAGGGGCTTGGGTCCGAGTCAGAGGAGGATAATGAAAGGGATTTAGGTAAAAAGTTGCACTTGATTCATTTGTTTTATCGTGAAGCTGAACTTTGGTCGAGTTTCGTTTATCTTGTTACATGTGGTACAGAGTATTCATGTTGTAATCCACCGTGCTAGTAACATTGTAAATCTACTGACACAGTTCTCGCGCAAAACACACACTTAACCCATTGATTTGTTTACCTCAAAGATTTTGAACACTGCAATTCACTCACAAAGGAAGAATTGGCACGATTATGGCTATCACACAGTTGACACATTGCCTTTATTGAAGTCGTTGACGTTTTCTCAATTCATAGATTCTGATGGCTCAGATGGGCCCAGACGCCGCAAGAAATTAAAAGTTCCAAAGCCAGTGGAAATGCCTGAGCCTCCGAACAGAATTTACGTGTTTTCAACCAGCCTTGCAAACAGAGCAGCAGAGGCTATGCAAATGGGCCGAGTAGAGAGCATCACTGCATTTCACAGAGCGCAGCCATCAAGCTCGCCATTTCTTAAACTCGAACAAACGAACTCAGTGAACATGTTTGGCAAACAAAAACCATTCTATCCGCAGCAGTACTCCATGAGGGGGTCTGGTGCTCCCGTCATGTCAGGTTATTCAGGAGTGCCGGGTAGCCAATCAAATGCCAGGTCAGGTTACAGTACGTCACACTGGGACCACATGCAGCAGCAGGCACAACAGCCGCTGTACAAGGACAGGCAGCGTATGCAGACTCAGTCACAGGCTATGGAAGATATTCATCAGTTGTTGTTTGGAAACTCACACGGTGGGAACAGTCAAGGATCTGGGGCAGGAATGAATGGAATGTACTCCAGAAGTGGGTATAACCAGCAGGGAGGAGTAGGAGAACAGTCTCCCTCCTACGCTGGTTATCCTCGGACTGGGGCGAGTGGAACGCCACAGCATCAAGGAGCTTATATGGAGAGACGCCCACCGGACATTCGCGGGCAAGTGCAGCAGTCCCACTTTCCCGCTTTCAGCCAGCAACCGAATCAGCAACAGCAAGGGTATTTCCAGAGGCCCAGGCATCTTGGAGGACTTCAGTCGCAAGGAAATTCCAATTCTCCTTCGTCAGATCCAATAGGAGCCGGGGTTCGCTCACCACCGCCTCCTTACCCAGGAGGCAGACCACCAGACTCCAGACACGCACGTAACAGCCCAGTACCATCTCCAACAAGTACAGGATCACCGCACACTCCGCACACCCCATTAACGCCACAGACACCAAGATTTCCAGGCCCGTCACCTAACGAACCCAGTAAGCCGCCATTCTCACCTTCCCATCCTCAGGGTAGCATGAGCGGTCCGAGCTTGGCTAATTATCCTGTCCAAGCACAACAGCAACAGCCTTCTGTAGTGTCAGGTGATGAAAGGCCGTTAAATTCTCAATCTCGGCCAGGCTTTATAGAACTTTCTACCAAAACACTCTCACACGGAATACAGAATCCATTTTCGTCAGTGATGGGTAATTATAATCAAGTCCAGTCACCTTTAGATGGTCCGCCGCGGAGACCTGAGGAGAACAAGTCGCCTGCATTTGGAGCGGCTGGTAATCACGACAGTCCTTTACACTCACCCGCTGACCACACGCCGTCCATTGCATCTCATTACGGCAATGCGCCGCCGCCAAACAAGAGTCCATTTATGCGCCCAGTCGGTCAAGCCACTGCTCATAATCCTCACAGTCCATATGCAACATCAGCTTCCATCCAAGGACCAAAATCGTTTTCAGTGGAAAGCCTCACCGCACCAAGCCAGCCACCTTTAGACAAAAGTAGCATTCCACCATCACAGTTATCTGAGCAGCCAATGCCACAATACAGCGGTCTATATTTCCCTTCAAATAAGTATCCAATGTTTGGACAGCCACAGTACCAATATCCTAGTCCTATGCAGCATCCTGGAGCATTCTACAACTCTCAACTGACGCCTAACATGTACCTGGGAAGGGCCTCTCTACCGGTGTACCCGCCTAATAGGGACTCAGGTCTTTAGTCCAAGGCTTGCTTTGGCTTAATGCTCTTTACACGGTCATTTTAGAAGCGTGGAGGTGTTGATTTAATACGTGAAGCAATGGATGAAGTAACAATATCAACAGTGCTTTCGTGAACCTGAAAGATGTTTCAGACAGGAGATCGAATAACCAAGTGCTCAGAGTACTAGAACAGTTATTGAGTGACAAATAGCGACAATTGAAAGCGGAAATGACAATTTGCAGCTTTGTTGAATCGCCGTGTTGACTTTTCGGTTAAATGAATCAAGATTTCAGTTGCTAAACATTTACCAGCGAATATCAAGCTACGCATACACAGCAATCACTGGCGAGGATGCCGTTAACTCTCTGACAGGAAGGAATGACGTGAAACTTTGAAGGAACGCTCAGTATTTCAAGGGCAGTCCCTCGCAAAGAAGACAGCATTGTTAGACAACATTACCATGGCAACATAAGTACAAAGTACATATTGATTGGCACCGCTTCAATTGAGACTAAGGGTTAACTTGCGAGCTGCTAGCCGTCAATCATGAGTTCAGTTCACTGAATACTGATTGTAGGGGAATTTGGCATGTAATTAAAATCTCTCGGAAATATTCGTCAGTTTGATAGCAGCTTAATAATTTAACCGTTGGTCTGTAGTTGCTGCCATAGAGAATGGTTCAAACCAAGAACTCACGGCGTTGGACACATGAGAAATGAGAGTGATGTGCTCATTCCAGCCGTATTTTGTTTTCTCCAGAGCAACATTTCCGTACTCACATACGCGCTGCAGCTATTTTAGAATTTGATTTGACGCCCCCTATAACTAGAGGCAGAGTTTTTTCTTGTTTAAGTGTTTCATGTTTATCATCCTGTTTGTTACACGTTGGTTTTTTCACAGTAGACTTGTCAAGTCGTGATTTGGATCACTCAGTAGACGGCTATTCCGTGGTGAAAATTCGGGTCGTCACGCAAGGCAAAAAAAAGTCGAGGAATCGTTGCGTGACGACTCAAAGAAGGCTCATAATTGGACCAAACTATGATTGACAGTTTAAGAGTGTGTTTTCCACCCATTAGGTTTTAAGAGTTGAACCGAAAGCAAAACAGAGGTAAAAAAGTAAAATGACACGTATCTGTTTTTAAACAAGATTAGAAGGAAGCATTATGTTAGATGAACTAAACTGCTACTAGCAACTAGCTTGGTCCTGGTTATAACGTTTTTAAGCTGTAGGCTACACTCACGAAACACACCCTCGCTGTGTTTCATTGTGCCATAGTTGGTAGTCCCCATTACAAATTATGATTGGGCCAATGGCGGGAGTAAGGACTTCCATAAAGATATGGGTTTTTTTTTAGGCAGCTCGTAGTAAAGTTACATTTAAGAGCGATTTTTAATTAATTTTCGTACCTAATTAAGTATTTTGGTTTTTAACAGCTATGTTTTGAACTCTTACGGACTAGAGAAAACGTTTTGTGATATCAGCCAATTAATTATTACAGTTAAAACGCAACTTAAGCGAGCTTTCGCGCTATTGCCATGTGCTCCAACTTTTGAACATGGCAAATTGATGAACCGAACTCCTTCATTCAAATCAAGGTGTCTGTCTTCAACGAAACAGCTGTCTATTGGAAGAGTAGCTTGAAAATCGTCTACGAACTTAATTTTCTTAAAAATTCTCTTAAAATTTCTGTGCTGAACGGATTCAAGCAACCATAGCGGTTTTGCGTTTTTGCCAGAGATGAAGGAGTTCTTTTCATATACTGCAAACGAAATGCTTTATTTTAACATTATTTTAGTTCATTTCATGATTATTGTATTTGAATTAATTTAGCGCTGAAAAGTTCCTGGAGCTCTTGCTTGGTGGAAAAAATGGAAAATTTATTTGCAGTACTATGTCAGGAATGCATGAATAGACTTCAGAGTAGAATATCCTCACCCAAAAGGATACAACAGGGACAGTTCGTGGAAAGTAATCGGAAATTAACGAGAATTCTCCGATCATTTCCGATCACATGCATCGGCCTTGGTAAACGTTATTGGACGTGCTGCATTTGATTACTTGTGAACGATTTATTGTGATCGCTAGGCAATACTTAGCGTTGAGTGTGCCCTTGCCAGGCAGCAGTTTTAATTTTGACAGTCTCGTGACATTTCTTTAGTATAGGAATTTCTCCGGCAGATACGTTAAACCAAATTAATAAATTGATCACACATTCGTTCTTTCAATCCGGGACCGAGCCTTAACTGCCTCAGGCAGTCAGCTATTTCTATTAAAACAAGTATAACAAATTTTATAATCTTAATAACGATGGCTTGCCTCAAGGGATCAAAGGCTTTCGTGGAAAAGGCCTTGGGTTTTATCAAGATACAGTAAAATACCGAAGTTTATATTGTGTATGTTTAAACGAAATGTTTTTTGCAGTCTGTACGCGCGCGCCGGCACTCCATGCTGTGGTGTATATATTTTTAAACATACTGTTTGATATTTTATGACAAAATTCACCAACACTTTCTGGTGACGGCAGCAAACTGTCGTCGCATTGTTCGCGTATTACTTTAGACAGGAATCACTGCTTCAAGTTGGTGTATCGACAGTCCAGAAGATTAAACTCCTAGTATATAATCAACAACATGTCAAGTGTGGTTACTGGTCAAAGCCTGAAAGAAATGATTGTGAAGGTCTCCAGAATACTCCCCCCTCCCCACCACCGGGCCAGCATACCATTGTAAAGGAGATAGAGTAAGAGTTGCGCTGAACTTAAGGTCATTTCACTGAAGTAGAACCTGCACTGAGATTTTTGTGAAACTTTGCCTATTGATTGTTTATATTACAGGAACTTAAATTTTGAAATAAAAATGAGGGGTCCCCATGTTCGTTTAGGAGCAAAAGCACCTTGTTTATACCCATAAAAAATCCTTATAATAGCACCACGATTGTAGTCGCGATTGCTTGCTAAATTCACGTTTCCGACGATTGCTTTTGTTCTACACTGAGAATTGGTCCATATTTATTTTACACAGAGAAAT